CTTGAGCCAAAATAGCCTCTCTCTCTCTCTCTCTCTCTGTCTCTGTCTCTGTCTCTGTCTCTGTCTCTGTCTCTCTCTCTCTCTCTCTCTCTCTCTCTGTCTGTCTCTCTGTCACTGCAAATCACTATCCAAACGCAGAACGGCTGCCATGGAGTTGAACTTCGTCTCCTTATTCGCCTTTCTTTGTCTAGCTGAAACAAGAACAAGCTTCGAGGAACATGATGATCAGCATTGGATTGATTGAATCCCGGGAGTGGTGGGTTGCCCCTCTATGTGTGGTGGGTTGCGCCTCTACCTGCCAGACTTCCTGGAATGGTCGGTGTTGGAGACACCTGTTACTTCTTGGGTGCTGCACATTGGACATGGAAAATTGCCTTTCTGTCGACTGTCGCCTCCATTTTGCTGACATCTGCCTTCCTGTGGCTGACTTGTTACTGCTACGAGTTCCAACGCTTTCCGGTGTGTCGATCCATTTCCCAGTTGCATCCAGGCTCGTATGCACCAATGTCGTCAATTCAGCGAACAGAATCGAATCGGTGTGCCAGCATGCCTGCACACTCTCTGCGGCTTCATGCTGGTCAACGCTGGCACGGCTGCAGCAGCCGATGGACGGCCAGAGGCTGGATGCCGCATGGCCTGTGTTCTTGGGCTGATCCGTGGCAAAGAAACTCATCGCCGTGCTTGAGTAGCAAGACTCGTGACTAGTTGCGAATCGAATGAATCGAGGATTGTCAACAAGCTACGTGTTTTGGACTTGGTAGGCAGCGTGGTTTGTGACTGCTGGTGCATGGTAGGAGCAGACCCGAAGCACCAGTCTCAAGTGAATCGACGCCCGTCATAATAGAAGCAAGCCAACCACAGACGAGGCCTGACCCGCAACACGGCGCAGAGGCCGATGGCATGTTGCCTCGGTCTCTGAATAGCCGAGACAGGGCCTAGACCGAGACATGATCGCAGTTTACATGCAGGCAAGTCGCCAGCCAATGGTCTCGCTGTAAACTGACCCAACTGAAGGAGAGCTTTGCCTTCACGTTGAAAGAATGCAGACCAAGCAGGTCTGGATGTCGCACGCTCCACGTCAAAGGCCCACTGTGGCACCTGTAAGTCATGGAAGACATAGTCCGGAAGCGAGAAGAAGTGGGTTGCAGGCAATATCAGATAGCTCACATCGTTCATTAAGTTTGTGTTATGCGATAGCGCTGCCGGCGAGACAAGCAATTTCCGTGTGCTGATCGCAGCGTACAGCAGTTCGGCGTGGTGGAACCCAATCATGCTATCTGCTTTGCCATGAATGAGCAAGACGGGGCACTTGATTCTCGAAGCCAGGTCAATGTTCGGATACCACTCTTCAAAAAGACTCGACAAGGGGCCTACCCTGTCCTTAAAGAGGTCAGCGACCGAAAGGAAGGGGGTGACCAGGATTACTCCAGCAAAACAGAAAAGTGAGGCCAGCTTCACCGCAGGCCCTGTACCAATTGACCGGCCAAAAGTCAAAATGCCGTCCAATGGCCAATGCAAGCTTTGTGTCGCAAAATGCAAAGCAGAAAACGAATTCTCCATCACTGTCTTGCCAGTGGCCACACCCGGGCATAGACCGTAGCCTGGATATTCCACGGCCAGCACATGCACCTGGAATTTCTCTCGCAAGAGGCGACAAAATGAGTAGCATCTGCCCAAATCCTCCGCATTGCTGTGAAAGAAAAGGACCAGGTATCTGCTGTAAGGGTACGTCAACAACAAGCATGGCACGCTGTCAACTCCGACCGGTGGAATGTCACCGTCCAACGAGCTTCTTTTTGGAATCCATACGAGCTCGTTAGGAAAACTGTCCGAGGAGTAACTCGGCTCTGGAGCTGGATAAAGAATCCGGGTTAAGAGGCCACGTTCGAGCATGTTGCTCGTGCACCAAGTCTGCCAAACAGAAGCGTGAATCTTCCATGGCAGCACAACCAAAAGAAGAGCAAATGCAAGTTCTGCATTGAAAGGTACTGCTCGTCGACAGCTTCCAACAACCAAGGACACCCAGAGTAACTAAAAGTGCCACGAAGACTGATGACAGGTTCATGGAGCCAAGCTTTGATCGTACATGCGGTGTCCAGGACTGTCTCGACAGAACAAAACACGCCCTCACAGACAAACAGTCGCAAACTGCCGTAAACATGATTTTGCCTCAGGCTTGGAACGAGCCGCCGCTCAGCTGCCCTGTGACATGTCACCGGACAATAGCCATGTCAGCCCTGTGTGAACCCTTGTCTTCTGCCTGCCTTCGAGCGGACCACATGGAAGAGCCAGGTCATGGATGCCGACGAGGAGAAATGCTCTTGTGTGCAATGTTGCGCACGCTTGGATTGGAATTGAAGCCGTGACACCGGCTGGTGCCCCGGAGTCCATGAGATGATGATGTAGCACGATATCGTTGCGAAATTCACTGCAACGGACCACATATAACATGCCAGATATGGCTGTGCAAAATCACAGACTTCAATAATTCACCCGCCCCCGCAAGATGAGCGCGAGTGCCAGTGAAGGGCTTTTCACTACCTTCTTCGAGACCCGATTAATCTCCCGCTCCGTCCTCTCCTCCCTCTCATTCTGTTTTGGAGGCCCCCGCCAGAGTCGCACATTAACTCTCGGTCTCCCACGGAAAAACGAATGTATGATGGGGGGTCTGCGCCAGGCTCAGAATTTTCATCGTTCCTCATCTTTGCATACACAACTGCCGATAAATGGAGGTGTATTTCTAAAACGCTAAGCCCTAAGCCCATAAGCCCGCAACCCAGAAACCCTAAAACCAGAAACCCTTAACCCTCAACCCCGTAAGGCCTACGCCCAGCAGCACGCAACCCAGAAACCCTAAGCCCAGAAACCCCGAACCCCAAACCAGGAAACCCAAACCCCAGCCCGGGGTGCCCTTTTTCCCTGATTCCCCTTACCGTAGGCCATGGAAAATGCAACATTTAGGGCCTCCATTCCTGTGTCTAAGAGCTTTGCAGGTTTATATGGAGAGTGGGACCGCAGGAAGGGCCGCTAGACAGGACCTTGCGATCTCCCGGCTGCCCACAAGCCTCCGCGACAAGGCACAACACAGCCAGTGCCTCTTCTGTCTTTCTCTTGTCTTTGTTTCTGAGAATAATGATCTTGCGATTTGATGGCCATTATTCTGGTAGAAACCCTGTGTTTCACCGACCCCTCTGTCATACATTTTCCCGACCCGGAAATGTAGTGCGGCGAATCGCTCCCCCCCCTCGCGTCGTCACACAGTAGTTGGTGGGGAGGGCCCTCTCCCTGCCCTCCCTCGGCCTCTCCCCACCCATGTCAACGTAACAGCATTTGCACATGTTTTCGCAGCCGCAAAGCTGAGGAAGCTTGAGCGAGCTTGCAATCCCGAGACGGCGAGAGCGCGTGCTCCACGGTCAAATTCGAGTGCAGCATTTGCGTTGCTATGCAACCGTTTTTTCTCTGCATGCACAGTTTTTCGTGACGAGGGAATTACCGGACCGATGCTAAACCTGAAATGTGCCTCTCGCCTCTAAATACGATTTGGCCGAATCAATAGTCGGCATCTACTCTCGGACACGGAGGCTAACGGTGTTTTTGTCATGGGGAGAAATAAGTATATCGTGGTCTTTGCGCGCATTACAGATGCTTTTGCATTGAAAAAAATCGCCTTGATGAGCATCTGGGTGAGAGCCACAAGCGGCGTCGTTGTCTTCGTCTTTTTTGTTGCGGCACCTGGACCCCGGAACGGCCAGCAGCATGAGCATCAGCTGGCATCGTTGGCGGGCCCCGGTTGCTCCTTCCGCGCCTCGGCCCCTTCCTCCCCGCCCCCCCGCAACCCTTCTCCCCTCCCTGCCACCCTCCCCACGCTCCCCTCCTCCTTGTACCCAATTTCTTCTTACACCCCCCCGACAAAGCCCCGGTGGGCCGTGGTCAAGATTAACATGACGAGTCTTGTCAGGGCCTGACGATGGGAAAAAAGGGGTGGGGAATTTCTGTGACCATTATTCCCCACATCTCTGTGTGGGGTTCTTACTTTTTCTGGCGTGCGTCCGCGCCTCCTCCTCCTCCTCTTTCCTTCCCTCTTCCTCCGAGGCCTCCTCCTCCCTCCTCCCTCCTCCTCCTTCTCCTCTCCTCCTCCTCTCCTTTCCTCGTCATCTCATCGCCTCTCACTCACACACACACACACACACACCCTCTCACACACATACACACACACACACTTACACACACTTACACACACAAAACACACACACACACATACTTACACACACTTACTTACACACACTTACACACACACACACTTACACACACACACACACACTCACTCTCACACACTCTCACACACTCTCACACACTCTCACACACTCTCACACACACACAAAACAAACACACACACACACACAAAACAAACACACACACATACACATATGCCTCTCTGGAGCCTCTCATAGAGGACTGGCGGGACCCCATGCGCGCCTTGGGATGCCTCCCTGGAGCCTCTGTGGAGCCTCTTAGAGGACTGGCGGGACCCCACGTGCGCGTTGGGATGCCTCTCTGAGCCCTGTTAGAGGACTGGCGGGACCCCACGCGCGCCTTGGAAAACCTCTCTGAGCTGGCGGGACCCCACGCGCGCCTTGGGATGCCTCTCTGGAGCCTCTTAGAGGACTGGTGGGACCTCTTCCAAGCCTCTAACAAGGCGCGCGGGGCCCAAACAGGCCCACAGCCGGGGCATTCCAAGGCGTGTGGGGCCTCTAACAGGCGCCCTCGGCATGTGCAGGGGGCGCCCACAGCCCCGGCATCCCAAGCCGCGGGGCCTGTAACAGGCCCCTAAACAGCCCCCAGGCCCGGCATTCCAAGGGGTGCGGGGCCTCTGACAGGCTCCAGGCCCGGCATCCAAGGCGCGCGGGGCCTCTAACAGGCCCCCAAACAGGGCCCACAGGCCCGGCATCCCAAGGCGCCTCTGACCGCACATCTCAAGCACATCTCAAGGCGCGCGGGGCCTCTAACTTCCAAGGCGCGCAGGGCCTCTAACAGGCCCCTAAACAGGCCCCACAGGCCCGGCATCCACACGCCCGGCATCCCAAGGCACGCGGGGCCTCTAACAAACCCCTTAAACAGGCCCACAGGCCCCGCATCCCAAGGCACCTCTACAGCCCCACAGGCCCGGCATCCCAAGGCGCGCGTGGGGCCCCGCCCTTGGGATGCCGGGCCTATGGGCCTTGGGATGGGCCTGTTCAGGGGCCTGTTAGAGTTGGCATGCCGAATGCGTGGGGCCTGTTAGAGGCCCCGGGCGCCTTGGCATGCGGGGCCTTGGGATGCCGGGCCTGTGGGGCCTGTTAGAGGCCCCGCGTGGCTTGGGATGGGCCTGTTTAGGGGCTCACTCACATTCACTCACCCACTCCGTCATTGACTTACTCCTTCACTTGCTCTCCCACTGTTTTTGCGTTTCCTGTCGATGCTTAAAATACACATGTGGGGTTATCCGGTCCTTTAATTTTTCTGCTCCTGTGACCATTGGTTTTGTCTTGTTTTTGCAGGGTCCTTGTGGAATGGGGTGGGTTTGGGGGGTTTAGGCAAGGCGGGGATGGGGCGGAAAAACCACCACCACCACCACCACCACGACTACTTCTACTACTACTAGTACTACTACTACTACTACTACTACTACTACTGCTTCTTTTGACCTTTGACTTTGACTTTGCATCGCAGCAACGAGATCCGAAGCTATGCGTCCGGTTGACCAGAATACTGGTGACTCCGGCTGCTCACACCAGGCTGGTGACGGCAGCAATGCGCTTCGGCATTGTCAAAAGCTATGAAAAGGCAGAGCCCCGTGCAGAAGCACAAAGCAGGCTCTGCAACTGGCAATATTCCGCGCTTTCGCAGACTTGCAACTCCTCAAATGACAAACAACCACATACCCATTGGCATTGATCTTTGAAAGTTGAGTCTGTGACCCCTGAATCTTAACATTATCATCAGCATCGTAGAAAACCAGCTGATTGCTGTCAACACTTGAAGAGGTGCTCAAAGCCGCCCGAGAATGACCTGACAAAAGATCGGAGCCGAGGTGGTAAATAACCCCGAGCACTCTATACCTGACCATGTGAACTGATCTGCCCCAAGAGCCAGGCCGAAGCAGCTGTGGAGGAGAAGGAAAAGGAGGAGGACGAGGCTCTTTGAGGCCGGATTCTCTACCTTGTGCGAAGCTCTGCAATCGCTCCAATATCTGCTACGTCAATTCCAGCAGCCTTTTGAGGTATTGGATGGGCAGCAGCTATGGTTCCAGATTTTCGTATGGCAGGATGGCCGGGGCAATGCAGAGCATGAGGAGGTCCGGCCTATTCAATGGCAACATGTTCTTTCAGGCTGGAGCTCTTTGCACTCACGGCACGATGCATGCGAATTCATTGGCTTTGTTCTTGCCAAGTTTCAGCCAGAGGCCTACAGTGGACGGTGGGAGTCCAGACGGGAGATTGAAACAGTGGATGGGAATCACGCACGTTGCATGGACTCTACTTGCTTTGCTCCGCTTCCTCTTGATATCTCAGGCCCGAGCCTACAGCACTGTGTTTATCATTGGTATATACAGCAATCCTCGTCCGTCTACCTGCACGCCCGTGCTTTGGAAAATTTGTGCTTAAGGACATTTTTCCTAAGCACAGGGCTAGCGTCACGCTGTTTTTTGTGCTTTCGGAGGCTTGCGTGTTGGGGGCCTTGAGCCGGGAGTGATGGGTGGCAAAAAACAAAACAAAAGAAAAACAAAAGACTTCTGGCAGATTTCTAGCAAAAAAGGACCATACATGTGTGTATTACATGTGATGTGTATATATATATATGTTGTGTTCTACAGTGTTTCACCTACCCCAAACCTTAAAAAACACACTTCCCTC